TGTGGGTGGGTGGGGTGGGGGAGGGGGGTTCATTATCCTATTATGTCAGAATTTACATTGCAGGTTTTGTACTTTTACGGTTTTACCTGCCAAAAAAAATATAACGGGTAAATTGACCAGAATTAACTGGTTAAGCAGCTAGTCTTGTTTGGATTTACAACAGCACTAGTTGGGAAGCTCCAGTATAAGCACAATTCACAGACCTTAGAGTAGTGCCATGTAGCTCTTTTACAGTTATTTTCTTTTCGGTGCAGTATGTCTACCTATCCTGGTAGATGATATTCTTACAAAAGAAAAAATGTGTTGTCAGAAGTTCTTTTTTGATTTATGTATTGGAGCTTTTCTAAATGTAGGTAGTGATGCTACTGTTTGTGCAGCTTCATTGCTTCTTGGTATGAATGACAGCAGACCAACTAAGAGCAGTAGAGAACGATCAGATAGTCCTTTTACATTTCCTCGTCAACGTCGTTCTGTAAGACCAAGACTGTATCTAAGTATTGATTCGGATTCTGAATAGGAGCAGATTCCATGGTGGCAGGACAATGATCACTTTTGCTCAGCAAATTATGTTAATGTGACAAGATGAGCTCTTGCTAGTGCGCACACATCGATCAACAGGAAACCGCTCTTACATCACTGCTGGCACCTAGGAGTTCTCTTATTTGTAGGTACTCCACTCTGCAAATTCGTATTAATATGTATTCATGTTTGTTCATTTCAGATTCCTAATCACCTCTCTCTCTTTTATGTTGCGAGCAGGACCGGAACACATTCTTTTCTCTTCCATTTCCTGAATGATTCCCCGGGGGGGTTGATCGCTAGTGAATTGTACATTTGGACAGCTTAGCTCAGTACAAAAAGTTCTAGTAACATCCACTGGTAAATCAACTTTGGATATAGAGTGGGAGGCATTTTAGTGATTCAAAATCTCCTTTTGCCTTGTGGGAGGCCAATAGCCTGTAAATATGTTTAACTAATTTGTAGAAAGTATAATGTATGTGAATGTGTTAATCGTTCTAGCTCAATGGACGGTGGATTGCGCCAGATTGTGCATGAGTGTACGAAGTGAAAATGAGGTTAAATCTCGTGATATTTTTGGTGCGAGGAAAGGTAGGAGGGACTGACGACACTGAGGTTTTTTTCTCCCAGTCCAATGTATTTGGAATGAGAAAGGAATGCAGAACTCGTGATAGAGTTGTATGATTATGTGATATGAAGGTGGAGGAAACTGTGCCCAACCCTTATGTGAAAATGAGTCCATGCCCGCAAGTGTTCATAAGATCTGTTATACGATTTCTATCACAAAAGATATGTAAAACACTCACTCATAATCATTCGTGCTGTTTAATACCTTCACTTGTGATCAGGAAAAGGAATCTACCATTATCACCAAAGATAATAGTTACACTGCAAAAGCAGAAACACAACAGAACGTGCCACAAGGGAACACTGCTCTCCTTTAAAACTGGCTTTTGATGTCCATAAGCGGCAACAGTCCTATTTGACTTGAGCGGCATACAAGAAATCTGTGCTATTACGGATCAAGCCATAAATGCATAAAATCCTGATGGAACTATTCTCTAACTGTTGAAGTGCATAAAATCCTGCAGTGAAAATAGAGGATGGGAACCTATATCTCAAGATAAACCTGGTCCAACTACAGCAAGATTCTTATGCAGCTGTACTTCACACTAGTGTCCATGAGAGTTTGCAAATAATTTATAGCATAGGTGGGGTGAATTCAAGTTCAGCAGTCCTCCTTTTCTGGATCAAGAACTGGGAGAAAGCCCAATGCTGACGAAGAAAGATGCATACCCCGCACAAAACCTCCATACCCAATCTTTATCTTATAGCACAGCAGCAAGATAGAATCCCAAAGTGCTGTTCTTCCCTGCAATGAGAGAACAAGTGTAAGGTATAAAGTTAGACAAAATTACTGAACTAGCACTGGGGGATGACTCGATGAGCTTGTATAGTACACTGTTACCATATTTAAGGGCACACAAATTTTCTATAATTTTTCAATTGTCTGTTGTATTAGCCATCAACCTTTTCGGAGAGGTGGTATCTTATCATTTTCTATTATCATTATTATCGAGCTACCAACAACACTTCTAAACAGAGTACTCCTAGTACTACTGGTGGCAACAGCAGCTATTACTCTTAGTGTTGTTTAGCAAGTAAACTCATCAGCAGCATTCTGAATGAGGAATTTTAAAATTTTCATCTTTTGGGTCTTGTGATATGACAGAAGCCCAAAAGATGTTAATTGTTGGCAGAGGCAACTAGGCGCTATAAAACAAGCATAATGCAGTCAATAAGCATCTTTGCAATAATAACTTGCCTGGAGAGAGAACTGAGGCTTCTTATCCCAGTATAGGGCAAAAACTGGGGTGCTTTGCTTTCCCACAGCCAATATGCAAGCTCCTGGATGGAGCACAGAGGGTACACCTGACAAAACAGCTACATACTTTTCAGGGAACCTTTCTTTAGGAGGTAAAACACCCAAAAATAAGGGATTTCTGCTATACTGGGCTCCAACATAAGCTGTAGGATCAACATGTAGCATCCACTTTGGGTGCTCCAGGAAAGCACAAAATAAATATAGGAGCAAATGAGAATCTGTTGGAAGCTCGGAACTCCATTTCTTGTTTCCTTTCCCATACCCCTCTACACTGCCCAAATAATCATAGTTCCTCAAACAGGTTCCTTCAGCAAGCTCTGCAAAGAAATTGGGAGTCAGATCAGTCGTGCAACAATAATAGAAATCAGCATACTTTAGCTCTTATTTCTTCTCCAAAAATGTAATGGAGATCCAAGAGTGACTGACATGCAAGGCAAAGCGGAGAGTCGAACTACCTCGGATCCTCTGTACTGTATATTCTGCACGGACACCGCTTTGTGGCAGCAATCCCTTGGCCCAATCTCCTTTCATTAAGGACAGAAGCCTTTGGTGTTCAGTGATGGCATCAATGCACTCTTGTAAAATAGGGATCTGAGAGTTCTGTGGCGAGGATAGCTGAAGACCTCCAGAAGTTGTCTTTGCTGCAAACAAAGAAGCATCGACAAGATACTTCAGAATTATTACATTGGCATGTCCAACAATGAAAGACAACTTGAATAATCAAGTGCAAGACTCATAACCTTAATGGGAGGTGAAGTGACTTACGCATGCAAGAATCAAGAGCTTGAACAAGAGTTACACGCAGCTGGTGAAGTAATCCATCTTCATCAACAGAAAATGAAGGTTTCCATTCATTGGTTCTCTCCGTAGCAGATATAGCAGCAGTCCCAGTATCAGGTGCTTCATTTCCGACTTGACTGATTGTGATTGTAATGCCTAGTTTGGCTGAAGCTTGCATAACCTGAGAGCATCACTAAGCATGAAATGACTAGTAAATGGCAAAGGAGATGAGACTAACTTCATCTTAGACAAAACACTGAGAAACGTATAAATACAAAGGAGATGATGAATTGACATCTGAAGATTTTAGTGCTTTTCTTAAAAAAGATTCTAATGCATTTTCCTTTTTTTTCTTTTTGATTTCTCAAGATTGACATGCTTTAAAACAAGCACTTATGAGCGTGATGGAGTCCTTGTTGTACAAATTCAGCACCCTCTTGGTGCATTTTAATGAAATGATAAGTTATACATCAAAAGAAACAAAAAGTAATATGTATTTCTCCAACATAGCAAATTTTGATGCTTTGAAGTGCACCTAACACCAGGAGGTGCCAAAACCAAAGTCAAAATTGGCGTCTGTTTCGACTTTCATAATTCAACAGGTCAGTAAGAAGTCTTTTCAGACTATTAGAAAAGAGTTTAAGTTATATGTATTGACGGTGTAAAAAATATTTACACAATCAGGTAACTTATTAAGTAACTACTGGTAAATCTCTTTATAAGCATTAATTGTTAATCTGCCATCATAAGTAGCTTACTATTATAGGTTAAAGTTCACTGCTAGTGTGAAGTATATAACTTAAATCCTTTAGAAAATACTTCCAAGAGTACGAAGGCATCAAACTAGGTATAAGGATGCAATGATCAAATGCTTATAATAGAAGGTAAACATAAATTACAATAAGACAATTCTGCTGGACTAGAAGATTTCATTTACAGTTTAGAAGCTGCGCACATGTTTGAATATACACACTTCATTTCTTAAACTGCACACAAAACCATTGAACTTTAAGGTCACTGATGAAAGGAAAGAACAAAATTCACATAATACTCTTACTTGACTATCTTTCTCTTTTCTATGAATAACATGGCTAATTTTACCGTTCCTTAAAAACATGTTTGCAACAAAAAGAGGATTCTTTCTTTTTCATAATTTGTAGCTTCTATACATTCTTAAGTGGCCCAATCGGTATATAAAAACTGTTAGAATAGTTATGTAAATAGGAGTAAATAACCCTAATCCAATATGTATTAGGAGTAGGATATGTTGTGTATATATATATAGGGCTCATTGTATCGTGTTTTAAAACAAGTTAATAATATCAATATTATTTTCTCCCGTGCTTTCTCACATGGTATCAGAGCAGCAGTGAGAAAATATCCGGGAAAGTCGCCGTGCTTCAATTCCGGCAACCTTTTTAGGGCTGTTTTCCGTCAAACCAATTTACATCGGTGTTGTGCAAAAAACCAACACCACCACAAGGTCCCCCAACCCCCGGCGACCAAACCCCAACAAACACCTCCGCCGGCAGACGTCTCACGCGCCTCCACGCGCCGATCAGACAGTTTTTTTTTCCAGCGAAATCTACTCCACGCGCCGGCGCGTGGAGCACTTTTCGGGCAGTTTTTGATTTCGTTCCTTCAGAACAGTTGGCTCGCCCTCAAAATCCGAGCCTATCCATAATTTTATTTTTTAATTCCGACCACTTTGAGTTTTTCCGGCGACTACACTGATTTTTTCCGGCAGATACAGTAATTTTCCGGCAAAAACAGTGTTTCCTTCATCTGTTTCAGCGAGTTGTCAGTTGATTCTTTCTGTTATTTGGTGATAATCCAACGATGTCTTTGGGAGTCGATGCTTTCGGGCCTAAAAACCCGGGTTCTGGCAGTTCCAATGTTATGATTACCTCAGAACCTTTAATGGGAGGTTCAAACTACTTAGCTTGGGCTTCTTCTATTGAGTTGTGGTGTAAAGGTCAAGGAGTTCAAGATCATTTAACACAAAAGGCTAGCGAAGGTGATGAAAAGGCCAAAACAGTATGGGAGAAGGTCGATGCTCAGTTATGTAGTATCATGTGGCGATCTATTGATTCCAAGTTGATGCCCTTGTTCCGTCCATTCCAAACATGTTATTTAGTTTGGGAAAAGGCTCGTAATTTATACACTAATGACATATCTCGTTTCTATGATGTAATATCGCGAATGACAAGCTTGAAGAAACAGGAATTGGATATGTCTACTTACTTGGGACAAGTACAGGCAGTCATGGAAGAATTTGAGACGTTGATGCCAGTTTCTGCTAGTATTGAAAAGCAACAAGAGCAACGACAGAAGATGTTTCTAGTTCTTACACTCGCTGGACTCCCTACTGACCTTGATTCAGTACGTGACCAGATTTTGGCTAGTCCGACTGTCCCCACAGTTGATGAATTATTCTCTCGATTACTTCGCCTTGCCGCAGCACCAAGTCACCCAGTGAGCTCATCACAGACACTTGACTCATCTGTCCTCGTATCCCAGTCAGTGGACAATCGGGCATCTCATACTATGGAGAATAGACGAGGAGGAGGTTGTTTTGGAAGATCTAGACCCAAGTGCTCTTATTGTCATAAACTTGGACACACTCGTGACGTGTGCTATTCTTTACATGGTCGCCCACCCAAAAATGCTTATGTTGCTCAGACTGAGACTACAGGTAACCAGGGATTTTCTTTTTCCGAAGGGGAGTATAATGAGTTCCTTCAGTATCGAGCAAGTAAGCAGACATCTCCACAAGTAGCCTCTGTTGCTCAGACAGATACTTCTGTTGCTGGTAATTCTTTTGCTTGTGTTTCCCAGTCTAGTACTCTTGGACAATGGGTTGTGGACTCAGCCGCTTCTGATCATATCTCTGGTAATAAATCACTTTTGTCAAATATTGCGTATTCACAGTCTCTTCCCACTGTTACTTTAGCCAATGGGTCTCAAACCAAAGCAAAAGGAGTTGGACAAGCAAATCCCCTACCCTCTGTCACTCTAGATTCCGTTCCCTATGTCCCTGGCTGTCCTTTTAATCTTGCATCTGTTAGTCGTTTGACTCGTGCCCTCCATTGTGGTATATATTTTATTGATGACTCCTTTATTATGCAGGACCGCAGTACGGGGCAGACGATTGGAACAAGACTTGAATCAGAAGGCCTTTACTACTTTAACTCGCTCAATTCCTCCAAGGCATGTCTAGTTATAGATCCTCCGGACCTTATTCACAGACGTTTAGGACATCCAAGCTTATCCAAGCTTCAGAAGATGGTGCCTAGTTTGTCTAGTTTATCTACATTAGAGTGTGAGTCGTGTCAGTTCGGGAAACATACCCGAGCCTCCTTTCCTCGTAGTATTGAGAGTCATGCAGAGTCTGTTTTTTCTTTAGTTCATTCTGATATATGGGGTCCTAGTAGAGTCAGTTCAACCTTGGGATTTCGTTATTTTGTTAGTTTCATTGATGATCATTCAAGATGTACTTGGATTTCCTTATGAAAGATCGTTCTGAGTTGTTTTCTATATTCCAGAATTTTTGTGCTGAAATTAAAAATCAATTTGGTGTTTCTATTCGCACTTTTCGCAGTGATAATGCCTTAGAATATTTATCCTCTCAATTTCAGCAGTTTATGACTTCTCAAGGAATTATTCATCAGACCTCTTGTCCTTATACCCCTCAGCAAAATGGGGTTGCAGAGAGAAATAATAGGCACATCGTTGAGACTACTCGCACACTTCTCATTGAATCTCATGTTCCGTTGCGTTTTTGGGGCGATGCAGTTCTCACAGCTTGTTATTTAGTTAATCGGATGCCTTCCTCTCCCATCCAGAATCAGATACCGTATGCAGTATTGTTTCCCCAATCACCCTTATACTCTGTTCCCCCTCGTGTTTTTGGGAGCACTTGTTTCGTTCATAACTTAGCCCCTGGGAAAGATAAGTTAGCTCCTCGTGCTCTCAAGTGTGTCTTCCTTGGTTATTCTCGTATTCAGAAAGGATATCGTTGTTACTCACCTGATCTTCGTAGGTACTTTATGTCCTCTGACGTCACATTTTTTGAGTCTAAACCTTTCTTTACCTCTTCTGACCATTCTGACCACCTTGATATATCTGAGGTTTTACCTATACCGACCTTTAAGGAGTCTACTATAGCTCCTCCTTCACCTTCCGCCACAGAAGTCTTACCCAAGTCTACTAGAGCTCCTCCTTCACCTTCCGCTACAGAAGTCTTACCCATTCCAACCGTTGAGGAGTCTAGTGTGGCTCCTCCTAGACTCCCTACCACAGGAACACCACTCTTGACATATCATCGTCGTCCGCACCCAGCATCAGGCCCAGCTGATTCACGTCCTGCACCTGACCCTGCTCCTACTGCGGACTTGTCTCTTCCTAGTACACCGATTGCACTTCGGAAAGGTATACGGACCACCCTTAATCCTAATCCCCATTATGTCGGTTTGAGTTATCATCGTTTGTCATCACCCTATTATGCTTTTCTATCTTCTTTGTCCTCTGTTTCCATCCCTAAGTCTACAGGTGAAGCATTGTCTCATCCAGGATGGCGACAGGCTATGATTGACGAGATGTCTGCTTTACATACGAGTGGTACTTGGGAGCTCGTCCCTCTTCCTTCAGGTAAATCTACTGTTGGTTGTCGTTGGGTGTATGCAGTCAAGGTTGGTCCGGATGGTAAGGTTGATCGTCTTAAGGCTCGTCTTGTTGCCAAAGGATATACTCAGATATTTGGGCTCGATTACAGTGATACCTTCTCTCCTGTGGCTAAGATAGCATCAGTCCGCCTTTTTCTATCCATGGCTGCTGTTCGCCATTGGCCCCTCTATCAGCTGGACATTAAGAATGCTTTTTTACACGGTGACCTTGAGGATGAAGTTTATATGGAGCAACCACCTGGGTTTGTTGCTCAGGGGGAGTCTCGTGGCCTTGTATGTCGCTTGCGTCGGTCACTTTATGGTCTAAAGCAGTCTCCTCGAGCCTGGTTTGGTAAGTTCAGCACAGTTATTCGAGAATTTGGCATGATTCAGAGTGAAGCTGATCACTCTGTATTCTATCGGCATTCTGCCTCGAGTCTCTGTATTTATCTGGTGGTCTATGTTGACGACATTGTTATTACCGGCAATGACCAGGATGGTATTACTAAATTGAAGCAACATCTCTTGCAACACTTTCAGACTAAGGATCTGGGCAAACTAAAGTATTTTCTGGGTATTGAGGTCGCTCAGTCTAGCTCAGGTGTTGTGATCTCACAACGAAAGTATGCCTTAGATATTCTTGAAGAGACAGGAATGACAGGTTGTAGACCGGTTGACACTCCGATGGATCCGAATTCTAAACTTATGCCAGGACAGGGGGAGCCTCTTAGCGATCCTGCAAGATATAGAAGGTTGGTTGGTAAATAAATTACCTTACAGTGACAGACCTGACATTTCCTTTTCTGTGAGTGTTATGAGTCAGTTTATGGATTCTCCGTGTGATAGTCATTGGGATGCAGTTGTTCGCATTCTTCGGTATATAAAATCAGCTCCAGGCAAAGGTTTATTGTTTGAGGATCGAGGCCATGAGCAGATCGTTGGATACTCAGATGCTGATTGGGCAAGATCACCTTCTGATAGACGTTCTACGTCTGGATATTGTGTCTTAGTAGGAGGAAATTTGGTGTCCTGGAAGAGCAAGAAACAGAATGTGGTTGCTCGGTCTAGTGCAAAAGCAGAATATCGAGCGATGGCTATGGCGACATGTGAGCTAATTTGGATCAAACAGTTGCTCAAGGAGTTGAAATTTGGTGAGATTAGTCAGATGGGACTTGTGTGTGATAATCAAGCTGCTCTTCATATTGCGTCAAATCCAGTGTTCCATGAGAGAACTAAACACATTGAGATTGACTGTCACTTTGTTAGAGAAAAGATACTCTCGGGAGATATTGCTACAAAGTTTGTGAAGTCGAATGATCAGCTTGCAGATATTTTCACCAAGTCCCTCACTGGTGCTCGTATTAACTACATATGTAACAAGCTCGGTACATATGATTTATATGCACCAGCTTGAGGGGGAGTGTTAGAATAGTTATGTAAATAGGAGTAAATAACCCTAATCCAATATGTATTAGGAGTAGGATATGTTGTGTATATATATATAGGGCTCATTGTATCGTGTTTTAAAACAAGTTAATAATATCAATATTATTTACTCCCATGCTTCCTCACAAAAACAATCCTTAAGATGAGGAGTATTTTCCATAATTCTGAAAGTTACAAGAGAACGAGCGAGCAAAATTATGTTCCTTCTGTCCAGGATAACAGGTATCAATATATCTATTTCAATTGTATTCATGAATTATGATACGATGATAAAAAGTAGGTGCTAACTCTTTCAACTCTTTTCGCAGTACATTTTTTCAGTTCAGTGCTCTGCAGAAATTACATAACTTCAATACTTGTAAGCTTAGCTTAAGTTGTTCTATTATTGTCTGATGCACATAAATATGATTGCTCTGTTTCATCCTTATTTTGTTATTTCATCAAAAGAATTCCTCTTCGTTTAAAAAAAGAAAAAAACGTATGTGGAACAATCAGAAGAATCTCTAAGGCATAAGAGCGTTTCCTCTATATCCATGTGAGTGTACTGTGCTACAAGCCTACACCCCAATCTGATAAATGGACCTTGGGCCTAAGTCAACACCAAAAGCTAGCTTATGAGATGAGGATTACCCAAGACCATATAAGGAGACCAAGGACCTCAAATCCCACTGATGTAGGACAACTCAACACAATCTATCATGGTCACTATGAATATGAAGCCAATACATACCTAAGGAGCTCTAAATGACATCAATGAGCAGTATTTCAGGAAAGATTGGTCTAAATCAACACTTAGGATTTTTCAGGAAGATCATCAAGTGTGCCAACAAGAGGACATGAGATGAGCAGAGAAAGAGAAAAGCAGAACACCACAAGTATCAGAAAAAAGAATAAAAAGAGAACGAGCAAAGATTCTAAAGTGGGTGCAAGAGTCCACCTTCATGTGACTAGTATCAATTTTGTTAAGCAAAGGCTTTAGCAGCATGGAGGAAAACCATTGCCTGAGTCGGTCACGCCACTGCTCGATCTGTGGATAGATCCCCAGATGCTCAAATGCTTCAGTGGACTCTTCCATTGACATTGGAGGAGGTAAATCGCCTTCCCCTTTCTTTGGTGGAGTTGTAAACTTTTGGGAACCAGGGGACATCCTAACTGGCCTTAGAGGAGTACTTCTTGGAGTTCCAGAAGTATTAGTGGAACTGGGCAAGTTACCAGGACTAGCTGCACCAAACCCACTTATGGTGGGTGGAGGAGTTGCCAGCTTGCTTCCCGATTCAGTAATTCTCTCATCAACATCAGCCAAGAACTTTTCAAGCTGTTCCTCTGTTGCAATCTCTTTATGAAAAGTAGCTCGCTTGTTCGACCAAGGGGTGGAAACCAAGTGTTCTCCACCTGGTGAAGAATGGATTGAAGGTGATAGAGAAGAAGATGCTGGAACAAGATACAAGGATGGGGAAGCTGGTGATTTTGATGGGGTGCTGAAAGATGGTACTTTAGTTCCACTACCGGTTCTTGCCTTGTCACCACCAAGTCTAGATGAATGGTTTGAACTAGGAATTGGCTGATGAAGAGGGACAAGGACATCAGATGGAGAGGCTGAGATACTTCTTGATTTGGGAGGTCTCTTTGAAGACTCTAGAGTAGTTTGCTCAACTTTTGGTCTAATCCCCAAAAGCCCTAACTGTCTATTAGTCAGATGTGTATGCTCCTTTGTTCCTTTGGTAGGTGACATAATTGTTACATCAGTAGTCCTCGTTGTACATAGATAAATAGCCTTGACAAGGGCAAGAAAGGTTCCAACTAAAACTATGGCTGCAAAAGCCTGTATCAGTCTGGCAAAAAGACCTGAACATAATGGTAAAATGTTAGTAACAAGCTGATGCAGTAGTGTTTGAGATCAGTCGAGAAGGATCACATCACTTACAAGCAGTTTCTAGAGAAACATATTTGAATTTCAGACTGTCAACAATCCCGCTTTCCCTGAATCACTCAAATTGAAATGAATCTATTAGTTGAGACACGAAACACCAAGCTATATCTATGCATTGTTTTTTATAAGTGAGCTATAGCTATACATTGTTATGATTATTACTTTCTTTTTCTTTCTCTGAGGCTGGTTGTTATAAGGTTTCTTCAAGCCATACCTTCTTTAAACCTTATTTCCTTTTTAAGGAAACTCAATTAAGGGTTGAAATGCAAAGTCTTTTAACATTATTTTTATTTAAAAAAGAAGCACTAAACAAAATGTGCAGTTAATTCCCATCAACTCTAAGTTCCAGAGCAGCTTATAAAAGAACGATAACTCCTTCCTTCTAGATTTAGGCTCTCATCAATTCATCTAAGTCTTCGTTAGAGGCCAAGAGAAAATTATCAAATGGACCTGGTAAGCTATCCCTTCCACTGCCCTAATCAACAACAAGATGATATAGCCTCCCTTATATCTTAAAAAGTGAGGAGAAAAAGGACTATTGTGCTCCTCCCTCTGCTAGCAAATCTGTTTGGCAAAACCAAACTGAATTGAACTTTCAAACTCGAAAACTAAGATGGCTGTCCATCCTAATACATGTAATCTTGTTAACGCACTCATCATAAAATTTATATTGACATTGTAGGCGTGCTTTGAATCGATATCTTAATCAAATGGTATATACATTCCACAACACAAACATAAAGCAGGTAATTTCCGGCTTAACTACAAAGTTTCCACTTTTTTCCAACCGTTCCAACATGTTGGCAAATATCATTCCACCACCTCTCTCAACTCTTTTACTCCACGTTCAGCACTCGGGCGGGGGGGGGGGGGGTGGGGGAGGTAGTAGAGGTAGGTAGTC